CTCAGAGAGTCAGCCCTGTTTTACCTTGCATTGTCGTTTGATTGAAAAGATTTATAGATATACAAAGGTGAATTCCAGATGTTGGGATGTACTCAGGGGATAAAGAATTCAGTTTTATTATATTTTTCATATATGTATAAAGCATGATAGACAATAGATACTACGACTGAAAGAGAAGGGGAACTAATTGTAACAGGGACCTAGGATGACAGACTTTCTTCAAGTGGACTCTAGATGTAGTTCTAATCTTTTCTCCAGTGAAGGGAAACTAGAAGGATTATAGAAGGACTAGTGAGATCAAAAATTCATTACAGATGGAAAGCAGAGCATGATTGGGAAAGGAGAGTTAGCTCTGGATCATAAACTCAGCAAATTTCAGGTTTCTCATGGAGCTCCAGAAAGCAAGGATCAAGAGAAAATCATCCGTGCCTTCCTGATGCCTTAGGGACAGCAGCAGGGCAAGACTCTATGGAAGTGTCGTGTCACCCATTCCCCCGCCCAGCACCCCACCGAGCCACACCAAATCCATGGCCCTTTGGTGAAATGGATTTAAGGCATAAGTAAGTCTCACGTCTTATATGGAATAAAGGAGGCATATTCTGACATAAACCATTCTCATGGTAGGAAGGAAAGGGTGAAACTAGGAACTTTGAAAATTTAAATTCCCAGCAAGAAAATCCATGGTGAAAAGCATCCCACGCCAAATTCTTTACTCAGAGACTTTCTTAGTCCAAGTGTCTGGAACTTCAAGAGGAACCTGGAAAAAGTTACATTTCATTCCTTGAGGTTCCAAATTGTCTGAGTAAGGTTTGTTTTAGTGGCTAAAGTTGTTGAGGTACCAAGGAAGAACTTATTGGGGATAAGTCATTATGTGATATTTGAGAAAAGATGATCGATGACAATAATGGAAGTTAGCTGGCTTGTTTGACCACAATGCTTATTTGCAAGAGCTGTATCATTCTTGGTCTAAAAGAGAAACTTCCAGAGAGTCCCTCCTGGAGAAGTGATTTGTGATGCACCATTTCCCTTGTGTATGTGAAAATCACCCCCGTGGTCAAATCATGAAAGGGGAATTATCTGACTCTTGGCCCATGGAGGTATACAGCATTTTTTTCATATTCTTTTGAGACTTGAGTTGTAAAGGAGAAAATCCTTTTCCTGCTAGGTCCCCTTCCAAGGATGTCTTAATTAGATGCCCCTGTTCACCAAAAACAAGAAGGTAGGGCCAGGTGGACACCACAGAGAGGAGCCTCTGCCCACAAGGAAGAGCCAAGTCCTGAAATCACCTTCAATCCAGCCATCTGTTGGAAATTCCAACCTTTTCCTATTGCCCAAGCAGAAGCCAGAGGAAGAAACTAGATTCTTATTCGATATGGCCTGTCCAAGCCTATTAGATCAGTCTCCAAGCTCGTATCTAGCACAACCCACTGCAAATTATTCATTCCCAGAGCCAGGTGGCTACATGCTTATGTCCATAAGGACAGTAGAGAGGGGATTTCATAGAGTCCAGATGTTGGCTCAGAGTCCGAGCTATCTGTCATTGTTGGGATGTCAGCTCAGAAAGGGCTGAGTCCACCTTTGCCTTCATGAAGGCCCAGGACTAATTGGGATGAACTAGGAGAACTTCAGTCTCCTGGTTATTAGTTCGTTTCTCAGGCTGTTGAGATGTTTCAGCAACCCAGAATATTGGAACGTCAAGGAAAGCCCCTCAATATTTTGTTTTAGTTGTTCCCAATTATAAAAGTGATACACTCACATTGTAGAAAATATAAAGGGTACAAAAAAAAGAAAGAAACAACAGCGATCAACAACAAAGATCAGTGGTTGTTGGGAGTTGAGGGAAGGGAGGGATAAATGGGCCAAGCACACAGGAATTTTAGGGCAGTGAAACTACTCTGCATGATATTACAATGGTGGATACATGTCATTTGCCCAAACTCATAGAATGTACAACACCAAGAGCGAACCCTAATATAAACTGTAGACTTTGGGTGACAATGATGTGTCAATGCGGGCTCATCAGTTCTAACAAAGGTGTACCATTCTGGTGAGGGATGTTGATGCATGGTAGGCTACATGTATGTAGGGGCAGCGGGGTAAGTCAAAACTCTCTGTACCTTTCTCTAGTTTTGCTGTGAACCTAAAACTTCTCTAAAAAATTGTCTTTAAAAAAAAAGAAAAGAAACAACAAAATCACCCATAATCCCCTCAATGCAATTACTTGTGTGCGTGTGTGTGTGTTTGTGTATAATTTTCTAGTAAATTTTTTTCTATAAATTTTTTACAGAACTGGGATAAGACTGTACTATATATTATGTATAAAAATATATATATTTATATATATATTAATAATTTTGGATCTAGCTTTGTTTTTCACTTAACATTATATTCACAAACATTTCTGCCATTCACGACTTTGGATAAACGTCAATTTTAATGCAATCCCCTCTTTCAATAGGAGAGAAAACAGAAGCTGGGTGTGGGGGAGTATGCCTGTTTGCACAAGATCACACACTATTTCACACAAACCCAGTGCTAGAATGGCAGTCTTGTCTTCTACCACTGGCCTGGTGCTCCTTCCACTATGTGATGCTGCCCAACTGGAAGGCAACACGTAATGCAGATACTAAGAGAAAAGGTGGGATGAGTAGGTCTGCCCAAGATCCCTCATGTGAAAGAGTCTATGGCATGACACTAGAACAGAGCCTCTGTGACTTGGGGGCAGCTGTTAACCTTTTTTACTGGTGGTACCTGAGGGACGTACTCAAGAGGGTGTAGGTCAGGGCTATTTCATATAAGGCAGCAGGAGGGGACAATGGGACAGAGTCAGTGCCACTCAGTCCTCCTGGGCCCCAGCATCCCCATGACAGGAGTGCACAGTAGACCTCAACGAAAACTAGAGCCATGACTCAGGATCCAGCCACAGCTCTGGTAATTCAAGGATCTTCAGAAAGGGCTATAATAATGCTTTTTAAAACAACTTTGTTGAGGTATAATTGGCATAAACTAAATTGCACATATATAAAGCATACAATTATTAAGTTTTGACATATATACAGACCTGTAAAACCAGCCAATCAATATAATGAACATATCCATCATCTCCAAAAGTTTTCTTTGTACTCTCTGGGGATTAGGGGGATGGGGGGTAAATGCACAACTAGGGGACACAGGGAGCACTGTAGAGGGGGAAGGGCATGCCTTTTACCCGCACTTGGGTGAGGCAAAGACATAAAGTGTAACCATAATGCTTGTACCCTCACAATACCCTGGAATAAAAAAAAAAAAAGAAGTTTTCTTTGTAATCCCTCCTTCCTGTCCTCTCTACCCACCCACTCCTCATCCCCATACAACTACTGATGTGTTTTCTGTCACTATATATTAGATTGCATTGTCTAGATTTTATATAAATGGAATCATACAGTATGCACTCTTTGGGGTCTGGCTTTTTTCACTCAGCATAATAATTTTGAGATTTATTCATGTTATGTATATAAATAAATATAATAGTTCACATATTTTAGTTGCCAATTAGTGTTCTAATATATAGATATTCCACAATTTGTTTATCTATTCACCTACTGAGGGGCATTTGGGTTGTTTCCAGTTTGGAGTTATTATAAATAAAACTATTATGAATATTCTTGTGCTTTAATGATGCTGAGTATCTTTTCATGGGCTTAACTGTTTATTTACGTCTTAGTTAATTTCTTTTTAATATTATGGGGTTCAATTTGCTAGAAGTTTGTTAAGAACTTTTGCCTCCGTGTTCATGAAGGATATTGATATTCATGTTTGTGTCTTGTCATGTCCTTGTCTGGTTTGGGCTTTTTAGAGTAATGCTGGCCTCACACAATGGGTTGGGTAGGATTTCCATCTCTTAAGTTAGCTGAAAGAATTTGTGTAGCATTCTTATTATCTCCTCCTTAAATGTTGGGTACTGGATATATTTGTACACCTACAAATATTCTTGAGCTTTGTTTTGGGATACAATTAGGTCACTTGGAAATAGTCTGTCTATCTTTTAAGTTTCGTTGGGCAGGACCAGAAAGGCGTTTACTCCAGGGCTAATTTTGCCTCACTACTGAGGCAAACTCTTCTGAGTGCTCTGCCGATGATTCATGAATTATGGGTGTTCTACTCTGATTGGTGGGAATAGGCATTATTCCAGGTTCTTTTTGCATTCCAGGGACTGTTCTCTCTAATGCTGGTTGTCTCCCCAGCTTTGGCTTCCTCACATGAGCGTGCTAATCACTAATCAGCTGAAAAATTGAAGGGAACTCTGCTGATTATTCAAAGGGGACCTTCTACATCTCCCCAGTGCTTTCTCTCCCTGCAGCTCCCTGCTCTCCAGGGCTCTGCTCTGTGAGCTCTGGCCACCTTGGGCTCCCCTGACTCCCAGCTCCACCTCACCTGAGAGAGACTGCCAGGATCTGTCTGAGATTCCCCTCCCCTGTTCTGCAGCCCAGAAACTCTTCCCGAGCAATATGATGTTGCAATTGCAGGGGTCATCCCACCATCTCAGGATCACTATTTGTTGCTACCTGATATTCAATGTCCTAGGAACTGTTGTTTCATATCTTTTGTCTAGTTTTTTAGTTGTTTCAAGTGGTAGAGTAAATATGGTCCTCATTATTTCATTTTAGTCGAAGTAGAAGTCGTTGATAGTGTTTTGATGGATGAATAACCTGAGGATATAGCAATAACTTAGGATATAATGGACTGTGCAATACAAAGGACTTCTCTCATTTGTCTTCTATATTATTAAGTTATGCTATTCCATAACTTTTCTTCCACTGATGATTTTAATACCTCTGTTGCATATGTACTTTTATTAAAATCCTCCCCTATCTCACTATCCCTGTTTTTATCTCACCCTATTGTATTTTCATCTCTACCTGTTCAACCCTGAGGTTTTCTGCTCATTTAATAGAAGTTATATCTTCCTGCAACCTAGTGAGAGTCTTGTCCAATAGGAAATTACTTTCAAAAATCTGGTACTGTGAGGCTTCTGGATGAAGCTTCTTTTCCTTGTTTTGCAGCTCTGTTTCATAGGCTCCATCTTGGTCATTCATGGGGACCTTTGTAACATACAGAGTGCGTCAGCGACCTGTGGTCTCTTCTACTGTCCATCTGGATAATGGTTAACTCCCTTCTCAGACCCACAGCCTCACATCCAGGACCTAGCAGGCTTTCATCAGGCTTGAGATGGAACCTTTGCTCCCGTTGCATGGCTCTTTGGTTCTTTGAACAGAGAGTGTATGGGTAGCATTGCCTCCCCCAGCAGGCATTACTGTGAGGGCTGTCTCCACCACTGCCTGTGCCTCCAGCACTTTATTGCTTGGTGGTATTACAACACCTAAGTTGGATTCTCCACTGCCCATCTTCCTTTTATTCCCTGGTTCATTGTTTTCTGTGACTTGTACACTTCTGGTGGATATTGAGAAATCATCTCTGATGAGCATGGAGATAGCACTCATACTGTCTCAAAAAATAGAATTCACACAGTAAAACAGAGGTGCCCAGTTTTCTTGTTAGTAGTAGATCTTGTATTTCTGAATCAGAGGACAGAGTGTGAAGAGACAAAGTTTTCCTACCTAACAGAGGAAAAATTTAGAGGGAAAAGTTATTCTATTCCTGTGGTACAATAAGTCACTTTTTACATTTTCTTAATCCAATTGATTAGGCTTGCAATTAGTCAAAATCCTTCCTAGTTTCTAGAAATTGGTTTATTATCAATCCCTGGTTTTTCTTTTGAATATTCATCTCTCTATATTTGTCTTTAAATGTATTTGGGAGGCTGGGCGTGGTGGCTCACGCCTGTAATCCTAGCACTCTGGGAGGCCGAGGCGGGCGGATTGTTTGAGCTCAGGAGTTTGAGACCAGCTT